AAGAGCTGCGCGCCCTCACGGCGGGGCCGCCCGGCGCGTCGGACGCGAGAGAGACGTTCCGGGGAGAAGAAGGGCCGCGCGGCGGCGGCGCTGCTTCCACCGAGGTGTTCGACGGCTGCGGACAGCGAGGGCATGGGCTGCTCCTGGGCAGCTGCATTCCTGAGGAGTTATCTGCTAGATAAGGGTACAGACGTGTTCTCTCTGTGCTGGCATTGCTGAGGCACCGTAAATCCTTGGTGTCGGTTGTGGGCCCCTCACGCCATGAAAGACATTGAGGGGCTGGAGCGTGTGTGGAGAAGGGAACGGAGCTGGGGAAGGGTCTGAGGCGCCAGGAGCGGCTGAGGGAGCTGGAAAGGGGCTCAGCCTGGAGCAACGGGGGATCAGGGGGATTTTCTGGCTCTCCACAACTCCCTGAGAGGAGGGAGAAGCCGGGAGGGTCGGGCTCTGCCTCAGGGAACGGCCTCAGGCTGGGCCAGGGGAGGCACAGGTTGGATATTCGGAAAAAATTCCATGGAAGTGTCCAAAAAACAAGTAGACATGGCCCTTTKCAAACGGGTTTGGTGATTGATCACAGGTTGGACTTGATTTTGGAAGTCTTCCAACTGTAATGATCCTGTGATTAACAGAGATGGCCACGCATGTACCAGGTGAGGTACAGGTGACCATAGGCAATGGTTTGGTGGGGTTGCCGAATTTAGGAGCTCTCTAAACACAGACACACAGTCTGGTTTGAAAAGGAGAYGTTTTTCTGCACAGGCTGCAAGGTGGAGGTTTGTGCAGGTCAGTACCCCAAGAGGTAAAAAGTTACATCTTTTATACAGTAAAATTTAGATAAACCCACCCATCTAATACATATTCCCTGTGCTCTGACACAAGTATTTCCATGTTACAGAGAACACCAGAGTGAATTCACTCCTCTTTGGATTTCCTGCAAGTTAATTGTGATGCCGTAAAGATGTTTCCACATGTAAGTTTTTATTTTCTCAATAACTTGTTAAAGTACTTCATTAAGGCATCATATTCCCAAAGAAAATACTCCCAATTATTATAATAGTTCTCATTTTTGTAAGTGAGAGCAAAACAAAACTCAATATTATTATACATCTGCATGTCCCCGGGGATTTCCATTTCGCTGCTCCTGATTCATGCCTGGGGGTGGTGAGAGGAGGAGGAGGAGGCAAATCAAGCTGGGAGTAATTTTCTAGGATACATTTACATTTAAGAAACTTAACATTGGAGCTTGCTGCTCCTGGCGTAATTAATGAGCGTTTCCTCGCCCTCAATGAACTCATTGAACTGTTTCTGAATGCAAAACGCAGGAAGTAACAGCAGCTATTATGTTCTAAAGGTCAATTTGGTGACATTTCCTGAAAATAAAGCCCGGTGGCCTGGGTGGAAACACGGAACTGGCRGCGTGGCAGGGGAGGGGATGAGATAAAGGCCTGGCTGCAGCCTGTGCAGGGCTGGGAGGGAGAAGGAAATGACAAACATCTGGTTCTGATGTTTCTGTGCAACCAAAGTGTGAAATCTGCTGACAATCCTGCGGTGCGTGGTGCAGAGAACATTTAAAACACACTTTTAAAGTGTATTTAAATGAGCTCTCATGCCTGAAAACCAGCCCTGCAAAAAAAAAGCAGTGAGAGATGACTCTGATTGTATTGAATCCAAGATTAGGTAATACAGTTGTAAAAGTAGTTTTCTATCTTGCCTAAAATAGGCTGTGCCCAGCAGCGAGGCCAGAGGGGGCACCAGGATGATCAGAGGGATGRAGCAATTCTCCTGTGAGGAAAGGCTRARAGAATTGGGATTKTTCAGCCTGGAAARGAGAAGTTTTGGGGTGACCTMATTGTGGCCTTCCAGTRCMTGAAGGGGCCGAMAAGAAAGATGGAGAGAGACTGTTCACAAGGGCCTGGAGTGGCAGGACAGGGGGAAGAGTTAGAGGGGAAATTGGGAAGAAATTTTTCCCTGTGAGGGTGGGAAGGCCCTGGCACAGGTTGGCTCTCCCATCCCTGGAAATGCCCAAGGCCAGGTTGGGCAGAGCTGGAGCAACCTGGGACAGTGGAAGGTGTCCTTGCCCATGGGATTGGAAAGAAATGATCTTTAGGGTCCCTTCCAACCCAAACCATTCCGTGATTCTGTGATTCTTCCCAYAGGCATTAATATCCAACCTGAAATTCCCAGATAAGGCCCAGCGATTAAGTTTGTATTTTTTAACTTTACTATTAAATTCCGCAGATTGTTAAATTAAARGCAAATTAATATTCCTGGGAAGAATCACTTCTCTACCACTGTCTAAAACCTTGGGGGATTAGAGAGCTGCAGMGAGTCGTTGTCAGCTGCTGTTTGGTGGCAGAAGGAAATGGGACATTTCACAGTAATAGATTTAAATCTTTTAATGCTGCTTTGGCACAGTCCAGAAGGCTCAGTGAGGGCAAGTCTTTTATTAATAGAACCTCTTGAAATGCTCCTTTTCACCCACGGAGTAGCTGGCAGAGTTAAAGATCCTCTTTTAAAACCCTCAGCGTGGTTACAGTCTGGGCACACTGATGCAGTAAAAGTCATCTCAAATCACATGTTAAGGACATGATTCATCCAGATCTGCCCAAATTAAGGCAGGAGTGGCAAGTGCAGCTGCCAGCACTGTCACCAGATCTCAGCTCTGTCAGGCCCACGTTACTCCCTGAAACATCTGTGTTTGGGAGGATTTCTTGTTAGCAAATCCTTAACAGATAAAAAGGGAAAATGTTGGGTTTTGCTTGCTTTGGGACAGCTTTTACCCCGTTACAGTGACTGCATGAGGAGTTCTCCTGTTTTAGTGTAATATTATTAACAAAAATGTGTAAAACTTGGTACTTCAAGGGTGGCTCTGAATAGACAGAGTTTTGATGACAGAAGTTTTTAAAAACCAAACTGTACTGATATTTCTTAAGGTGTCTTAAAGCAATTTCTTGCATGAGAAGTGTGGGGAATGTGCCATTGCATGTTCCAACGATGTATTCACGAGGCTTTTCTATTTTTTCAGTTGCTTTGACTAAAATGGCATGCTATTATTGGGGAAGAAAAGTCTTTTTTATTAAGTCATGTGTACAAGTTCAGAGCATATCTTAAGCTTGTCAAGGAGCATAAGCATTTCTGAAAAAAGGTGACCTGATTTTGAATTGAAATATGGAGTCAGTGCAAATCCAGAAGTTGGGCTGTGTGAAGTATCTGCTCTTACTCCTGAAGCTGCCAGGACTGTGCCATTCACGTGGCAATTACACACCCATTTTTTTTTTTTACCCAGTTCTTGTATCTGACTTGCTCCAAAAATAGATCCTTCCTGCAGAAATTAGCAGATTGCACCCAAYCCTTTGTAGGGGTAAATTTGATTTGTGCTCCATATTTATTTTCAGCCACTTTTGTCTGTTCCTCTTTTTGGCAAAGGCCTAACTTGTTCTTGGCCCTGTGTGCTCTTATGTAAAGCTTTCCTGAAGCCTTGGTCAGGTTTGTACTGCTGGGGTTTCTTTAATGTAATCTTCTGGTTAAAAGCTTTCATTTCTTGCAACCTGTGRTTATTATTTTATAAATATATCCCACTCAGCCTGGAGAAAATAATAATGGCATCTAGGAGCTTGCTGCAAGTAGATTTTTCACTAATAAATCTTTCCTCAAATGTAATGATTCTCACCAAAGGGCTTGGTAGAACAAAACGGAAAGAGAGTGGATTGAGATTAGGTGTAAGAGGGAAATTCTTCACTCARAAGATGGGGAGGCCCTGGCACAGGYTGCCCAGAGAAGCTGTGGCTGCCCMWYCCYKGAAGTGTCCAAGGCCAGGGAGTGGCACTGAATGGGCTCCACGAGGGAGAACCCGTGATTTCTCCAGGCAGTTCCAGGGCTCTGCCAACCTTCATGGGAAGAAGAAGCTCTTCCTAATGTTGAGTTGAAACTTCTTGTGTTTTAGTTTATGGCCATTGCTCCTCATCCTGTCACTGGCACCACCTAAAATAATCTGGCACCATTCTCGTGGCACCGCTTGGAGATGTTTGTGTGGATTGATGAGATCCTCTCTCAGTCTTCTGTTCTGCAGACAGCTCCTGCAGTGTTTACTCGTAAGAGAGATGCTCCAGACCCTTCATTGTCTCCGTTCCTTCCGCTGGACCCTCTCCACAACCTTCTTCCCTCTTATCCCGGGGAGCCCAGAACTGCACACAGCACTCACCAGGGCCGAGTGGCGGGGCAGGGTCACCTGGGAGCCACCATCGGTGCCACTATGGGTGATYGCATTGGTGTCACCATGGTGCCACATCGGTGCCCGCTCGGTGCCCCCCGCGTGTTCGGCCCCGCTCGGGCATTTCCGCGCCCCCCCGGCCCCGCCGTGTCCTCTGCTGCCATTGGCCGCGCGCGCTCGCCGTCGGGAGGGAGCAGCCAATGGCGTGCGGCGCGGGGGCAGGGCCCGCCCTCCGAGCAGCGGCCCGGCGGGGTCGGCGCGGGGCGGGGGCGACGCGGCGCTGGAGCGGCGGCAGCGGCCATGAAGGTGAGGGGGGGGAGATCTGTGAAGGTGAGGGGTTTCATCCAGCCGGGAAAGCGCKTCTCCCTCTGAGGGGAAGGAAGGAAGGAGGAGGGGGCGAACCGGGGAGGGTGACGCGGCCGGGACCCCAGTGGGATGTCCGGGCCGGGCCGCTCCTCCCGGCTCGCCTCAGGCCACGGCCGCCGTCCCGCCCCGCTCTGAGGGGCGCCCGGGCCGGTACCGCCGTGCCGAGGGGCCCCTGCGCTGAGTCAGCAGCCGGACAGGGCCCGGGGCTGGGCCTGTGAGGGGCTCACCGGGGACTCCCGAGGGACCGGAGCCCGGGTCGCTCCCCTGAGGCGCCGCGTCCGCCCGGGGCTGTTGTGGCGTCAGGGGGTGCGCGGTCCCGGAAAAGCTCTGCTTGATCTACGGGTGGGTGTAAAGAGGAAGTTTCAGTTAAAATGATTAAAAATAAATCCCTCCCGCCGCTCCCCTGTCGTTCTGCGGCTTTGGTAGCACACCCAGCTTGCACAGGTGTGTCAGGAGCAGCGCTGTCTCCGGTGAAATCCTCATCAGGTAACCAAACACCCTTAAAGCTAAAAACAACAGCAGAGAAGTTGGAACGCAGGGTTTTGCGGCTATGAGATACACTTAAGGTACGGAGAGAGAGAAGATACSCGATGGCAGCTTGTCCATGGAATTGGAGACTGATGGTTTGGTGCAGAAATTTGTAATGTTTTAATCCTCAAGGGAGGGATTTTTTGTTTTAGCGTGTTTAATTTGTGTGTTGTGTTGGAGCTTTTCAGTACGGTGCCATTTCTTTTACAGAGCAATATGGAGAGTCTAGACACTGTAATCCAATTACCTGTTAATGACCTGAGGGCATAGAAGGARTCCACAGGTGACGTAGGTTAAGGAGAAAATTAATGCCCACGTAGCCTTACCTTTCACCTTAAGGGAGTGGTTGGCAGCAAGATAAAGAGATTTTCTGTTTGATACCAGCAACATTTGTGTGTGTCCAAATTGGGGAACAAAAAGTTCCTAAAAATATATGTTTGGTGTTGACAGTGATATCTGAACAGTTGTTACAGGGGCTGGAATAAAATAAGTCTAAGAAGCAGGTGTTAAACTCTGAGGCCAGGGTTGTGATATCAAATGTCTCATGTCCTTTTAGTCATTGTGTCCTGCTGCTGCTGTGACCCCCTGAAAAGGCCATAGTTGTGTAATAAAGGAAGTTGAATTTTGACAGACCCTTTTGGTTCATAATTTCATTTTTCTAGTTTTTATACGTGGCTGTTTTGAAACAGATACACAATTAGCTCATCAGTTTTTAAGAGTAGGTGAAGAATGAGAATAATGATTCTGTTACAGCTKTTCCTTAGGATGAGAGAAAGTATTTTTCAGAAGTTCCAACTTTTAAAACTTGGAGCTCTGTTGGATTGTCATTGGTTTTTAGGATGTATTTCTGGAATGTTAATTGCCTAATAAACTAGCATAATTATGTTTTCTCCAGGGAAAAATAATATTTATACATAATTTCCACAGTGTTTGTAATGGAGAAGCATAAAACAAGCCTTAKTTTGAGGCTGGGATGTGAGTGCCAGGCTGGAGTGAGCTGTGTGTGAGCCCTGCCGGGCGCTGGGGCGGGAGGTCAGGGAAGGGCTGCTGGAGTTCATCCCCCTGGAACTCTCTTCAGGAAGCTTAGSAAGATCTCCTGAGCGTGGCATGCCCAGGGCACGGAGGGTTCTTGTTACACCAGGATGAATTCTGCTGTTGAAATATCCATAATGATGAATGGATTTAACAGATGAGAGGATTTAATTAGAATGTATATTTGATGTTGTAACYGAAGCTCTTGTTCTTACCTTTTGTGCTGTGTGGTTTGAAAGGAGACGTTCTGGCCTATACCCAGTTATTCTGACATTAASTTCCCAGAATGTAAGAGGATTGTGTTCAGTTCAGGGAAAATGTGCAACTTCATCTAGAAATTTGTGTAGTTACAGAACTGAAATGTGTGTTCTGGTTGGTTGAGGTTTTACAGCAAGAATTATAAGGCTCAAAAGCAATTATTTTCTGTCTTGGGGCTTTGGGAAAAAAGAAAACTATGCTGTCCTGGAATGAAAAAGAGAAGAGCTGTTAAAGAAAAAAGTATGGAAAAATAATTGTGTTTAAAGGAAGTTGTACCTCTCAGCTTCCTTTCAGGGAGAACTTGATTCTGTTTGCCCCTCCTTTTTTTTTCCAGCAGGTCTCAGGGAGTCACCTGACTCCTGATTAAACTTGTGACCTGCACAACTTGGAGTCCAAATTCCACCTTTAAGTACAATATGCACTTTTGATAGAGAATCCAGTCCCAAAGGCTTCCAAGGATAAAAAGTAGCACTTTATTTATGTGTTCTGAATTTTTTGTAGTGTAACTGGTTTGYAGTTACAATTGTGTAACTCAAAACTGAAATCCAGTAAATAGAAAATAAGTTCATTTAGATTTATTTTAACTTTTGTTAGACATTTTGTAAGGCAGCAAAACAAGCAGGTTCAGGGMGGTCTTGAAAAACCTTTCCTTCTCAATGAAGCCAGACTGTAATTATCTTCTAACGAAGATTGGTTTTCAAGTTTGAAAACCAGGAATGTTATTTTAGTGAGAGTTTTGTTGTGAGTCATACAAGAGCTGGCTGAGTTCTGGAGCAGATCCTGCAGGGACAGTTCTGCATTAATCATGAGAAGTTGCTGTTTCTGCCTGTCACYGTTTCGGGGTTTGCCCCTCACCTACAGCAGGCTGTCAGTCACCTCCTTCCTTGCTCCACTATTGCATCACTGCTTGAATTCCTGACTATTTTTGCAGGGAATTCTCTAGAAGGGGAGTTGTGAATGTGAGCTCCTTGTGCCTGCATTGGCCTTTCAGAGGCAAATCTTTCCCACTTTGGATTTCAGCTGGGAGTGGAGCTGGTCTGTCACAGACRTGAGCGTGCCGGAATCCTGGAGCTCCAGGAATTCACACCACATGCTCCTGGGATGATGACAGATGGAGTGAAGTAGCTCCTCAGTAACAAGTCACATCTGATGTGGGCTTTCAGATCCTGATTTTCTGCCTTTGCTTTGTGATGTTTTCAGGCGGGAGCTACTTCCATGTGGGCATCCTGCTGCGGRTTGCTGAATGAAGTCATGGGTACGGGAGCAGTGCGTGGCCAGCAGGCTGGATTTGGGGGAGGTGCTGGCCCCTTCAGGTTTACACCAAGTGCAGACTTCTCAGCATATCCAGCTCCAGCTGCAGCCGGCACCAACATCGTCTGCAAAGCCTGTGGACTCTCCTTTTCGGTTTTTAGGAAAAAAGTGAGTATATCTCCTATTGCACAGTATTGTGCCTCCTATGAACTCATCTGTGATATGTTGGGAGATGAGTGTGTGTTTCTCAGAAACCTGAGGCAGGGAGGAAGTGCCTTATTCTGAGGTCACAGGAAATTACTGTCAGCCAGGATTAGAAGTTAAGAAGTCTGATATTCATTAGTCTGATGTTCATTARTCAGTGACATGTTGGATATGGGCTGGCCTAAAAATTAATGGACTCTGATTTGTAAGATACATGTGTTAGCTTCAGAGTCTTAAACATTAAAGCAAATATGGTTTTGAAGATGGCACCAAACAGTGGTTGAGTACAGGAGTGAACAAACTGGGTGATGGGAAAGCTAAAAACTCAAAACTCTYTTGTTTTGAGTAACTCAAAACAGTATTACAGCTTCTTTCTGGGAAGTTCTCATGCAGTTCTGATGACCAGTGCTAATTGTGCTCAATGCTGTTGTGCTCCAGCAGTCTCTTRCTGCTTTGGAAGGCAGGTTGGTGGTTCATGCAGATGATATTGTTTCTGTGTATCACAACTGTCCTGGATTATTATTTTGTTCCCCCAGTGACCTAATCCTACAGCTCTTTAGATGATCATGAAGCCCCTTCCCTCAATTTGTGTGTTGTTTTCCCCTTCCACTGTGTCTACATGGGAAGGCTTTGTTGAATGAAGTGTTGTGTAGAACATTTCTGAAGCCAGCATTAATTTACCATAATCCTGAAAACCTTGGAAGAATTTGAGTTGGTTCATAGCAGCTGGAATGTTGACAGTCTTTTGTRTATTGTGAGTCTTTTGAACAAAGCTTTCTCCAGAGATGACATCTGGGCATTTGGGAGTATTTCCCTCCCATGTGATTCATCACATTCGAGGCCTGCTCTGGCAGGCCAGAAGTTGAGGAAGCAGTAGGTTTTCTGAAGTTTGGGGTTATACTTTGTTTTACACATGTCAAAGGGACAGTGACAGTATATTCAGAAGTATTTTGACAGACYTTAAAATTGGTTTTAGTTTCATTTGTTGTCTAAACTATAGCTTGAGTACTTTATTCATTTATTCAGATGTTTTTCTCTGAAACCTCGAATCAGCTTCAGTAGTGCCACAAGAGCAAGGGTCTCTCTGGGAACACCATGAGAGGGCAGTTTGCTGGACTTAAAAATTACGTCTTTCACAACTGACAGTGGAAAAACTAATAGTAGATTCTGTAGCCTGGGGAAGAAGAGAGCAGGGCTTGGAATTGTTTCCYGTGACCCACAGCTGAATGATGGTTCCTTCCTTTCCCCTTAGCATGTGTGTTGTGACTGCAAGAAGGATTTTTGCTCAGTTTGTTCAGTCTTACAAGAGAATCTCAGAAGATGCTCCACTTGTCACTTGCTGCAAGAAACGGCCTTCCAGCGCCCTCAGCTAATGAGATTGAAAGTGAAGGATCTGCGTCAGTACCTGATCCTCAGAAACATCCCCACAGACACCTGCAGAGAGAAGGAAGACCTGGTGGACCTGGTGCTGTGCCACCACGGATTGGGGTCGGAGGAGGACATGGACGCTGGCAGCTTGCGTTCGTCACGGTCACAGACTTCGGGCTTTTTTACSCATCCCTTTTCCATGTCTGTATCCATGTCAAATCCAGGAGAACTTGCCAACAGAAGGGGAAGCACAGGAAGTGGAACACCTTTACGGGTACAGTGATTAACATRTCTTATTGTATAGCATTSTTGGGGTTTTTGTTTGGTTGGTTTTTAATAGATACACATCAATTTAAAATTAAACACCAATTGGTACAGTTTGGAGGGCAGGAAAAATGCCTTTTGCACATGAAAACTGGAGATAATCAGCACAGATTCCTAGTTCAGGTCAGAGGTGACTTAAACTGGAACTGAAACTTCAGGATGTTGTCATTGTCACTTGTGATAACCTCAGTAGGAAGAAAAGTGTTTTATGAGGGAATAACATGGTTTTTTATTCTGATGAGTTCCATTTTGTACACAGGGACAAATGGAAACATCTGTAAATAATGAAGAAGAAGAAAGTGCAGAAGAGCAGGTGAGATAAGAACTATCCAAAGAATAGGTTTTTGGCATGTGACACCATAAAGTGTTTTAGATCTTTGCCAGCATTTGGCCTCATGCTGTGGTTCTTCCAGAGTTCGCTGTGTCTAGCAATGAATGTCTGCACACACTGGCTTTAAAAAGAATTAAACTCCAGCCCAGCTGCTGCAGCTTCATGTGCTCCAGCTCTGGTGCTCTSAACTAAGCAGGACAGTTAAAACCACTCGGCTGATGTGTTTCAGACCCCAGGGATGTCCAGGAAGCGAGCGAGGGCGTCCCTGTCTGATATTTCCAGTCTGGAAGACATCGAAGGGTTGAGTGTCCGGCAGCTGAAGGAAATACTCGCCTGCAATTTTGTCAACTACTCAGGATGCTGTGAAAAATGGGAACTTGTGGAAAAAGTGAGCAGACTATACAGAGAGAATGAGGAAAACCACAAGACACGTAGGTTTATACTTTATTTTCACTTTCTTAGAATACTTTGTTTCTGGTTTCTGGTGTTTGGTTCTGCCAGTGGAAGAACTTGGTTTATGAACTCAGTCTGCTCCATTGGAACACCTGGAAAGTGAGTTTTTAACTATGCAAGGTGATCCTGGAGTAGCTGAACATGGCTCTGGTGATTAAACAAAGCTTTCTAGGATTGTGCTGGATTTTTGAGACTTTATTCCTAAGGTTGGAGAGTTCAGCTTTCATGCTGAAGGTAAAATTGCACAACTGAGAACCGGTTCCTCAGAGAACTGAAACTTGGCACCTCCATGTGCTTTGCTGGGTTTCACAGGGCATTAGCCAGAGCTGCTCTGTAGCTGTGCAGATCAGGGCACTTCAGGTCTGTTAGTGCAGAATTAAAGTCTGCAGTGACAAAAGTCCAAGTGCTTTGGTCTCAGTCCACATTTTTGTGATAAATTTTGTGGTTCTGTGGCTCCAGCTCAGTGGGTGTTTTTCTACGCTCTACTCCACATAGCAGTTGGAGTCTTTCATTTGTGTGATTGTAGTTTGTCCTTAGACCAATTCCTGCTCACTCAAAGCTTAGGAAAAAAACCTTTAAACTTCAGGGTTCTTCTTTTCCACCATGGTCTGATGGAATGTTCAGTTGTTGATGGGGATGTTGACTATTCACAATGAAACTTGGCAGGTTTTGTTCAGTTCTGCCACCTTTATGGCCTACTTAAGGCTTCCACTCCTTCGTCTGCTTTATTATTATTGTGTTTAATCTTCTGAGGAAAGTGTTCTGCCAAACAGTGAGCTCTGAGATGGAAAACCAACATGCTCTGAATTTTAATCCAGCACGTTATTTCACAGTCATTACATTCTGAATTGAAAATAGTTTCTGGAGTTTAAAGAATGAAGCCAAATATTGGATGGTCACTTGAGGGGCTTTCTAGTTCTTATTTCTTTGCTTAGTTTTGGAGGAAAGTAGATTAATTTGTAGCTGGGGGTTAAAAATCTCATGTGAGCAGGGAGCAGCACTTTATGCTTAAGGATCCGATTGTGGGTGGGGCATTGCTGGGTTGGAACCGCCCAGGTTCTGCAGGGCCCAGAGCCCTGACCTCCCTCTGTGTTGGTTTCCAGAGGGGGAGAAGATGCAGCTGAACGAGGACGATGACAACCTGTGCCGGATCTGCATGGACGCCGTGATCGACTGCGTGCTGCTGGAGTGCGGCCACATGGTCACCTGCACCAAGTGCGGCAAGAGGATGAGCGAGTGCCCCATCTGCCGCCAGTAYGTSGTSCGGGCCGTGCACGTCTTCAAATCCTAACGAGCCCTGCCCTGAGCACCCCGGGCAGGATTCCTGTGGGCAGGAGTGCTGGGGCCTGGGGCACACGGCAGCATTGCAGTTCTTGCTTAAACGCGGCCTTTTCAAAGATTTAGAAGTTGGTGAAAGGTTTTTCAAGCAGCTCCTGCAGCGCAGGGCTGGGCAGGCCCAGGTGCTGCCCCACTTACCTTAGAGCCCCACAGAGCGGGGAGTCAAACTGTTTACAGCAGTTGTTGCTCTCTTCTGAAGAATCTCACCTGTCCTTATGCATTCAGCACTCAAGTGGTCAGCAAACACCTCTGCTTGAGCCTATTAGCCTGTGGTGTTCTCTAGTGCATTAGAAGCAATGAATATATCAGTTGATTATTCAGCTTTTCCCTAACGATAGAATGTATCTGTTCCCACACCGTGGCTGCGGTGCCGGTGTTGGGCACGGCTTAGGAAGCACTGCCATGAACTCTCCCGCACAGAAGCCCTTAAGCAATCGTGCTTCATGCTGATTGCTCCCTCTGAATGTCTGTCATGACACGTGTGCTGTCTTGGCTGTTCTGTCAGTGTACMAAACACTCCATCACTTTGCAGGGCTCAGGGGCTGCACAAGGCTCTGCCTGGTGGGTTCCAAAAACCAGTTACTAAGTGGTTCTTAGTTTAGGAATAAACTATTTTTTTAAGAAGGGTTATTATAGGAAACCATATTAGCGTGGTCTTTAATCCGCTCATGCCTGTTGTAACTATTAATCTGTGATGATTGTACTCCATGTGCCGACAGCCTGATGTTACTGTGAATCCTGATCAGGGGCACCACCTCCTTGCTGCTAATGTGGAATGTATGGCATTACTAACCTTAACTGGGGAGGRGGAGGCAGGAGCAGGGACAGGAAACAGAGTTTTTGTTTAAAACWTGTTCAGACTTTCACCCAAAGCCAAGTTACCCAAACCAGCTTCCCAGGGGCTGCTGAGGGCCTGTATTGCTGCCAGCCCTTGGCCCAGGCTGGGCTTTGTGCCATGAGCTGGGGTACAGCTCCTCTTGGAGGAGGAATTGTAGTGGTCCTTGTAGGATATCTGTGAGTGATGATCTGGGGAAAGGAGCAGCAGGAATAGCTCTTGGGAGGGAGAACAGGATGCCTGTGGCCAAGCAKGTCCAGGGACAGGGATTGGTGAAGTTCACTGTAAAAAAACAGGTGAGTAAGGACCGTGTGTGTCCAGTTACTCTTTGGGCAGAGTTGATTTRCAAAGGTTTGGTTTCCCTGATTTCCCATGTGGCAGTAAAGTTCGGGTGTAGGACCTGAGAACTGGCACCTGTGCTGCACCAGCACCTGCTCTTGTTTTTGTGAACAGTTCYGCTGCCTTGGAAAAAAGTAGCTCCTCCTCACTGTAACACAGCTCCAAGMTCTACTGGGTATTTTTCAGAAGGGAGCAAACCTCTCAATGGCTTTATTTTTTAGAAGTAACTTTTTAATGGTACTTAATTCCTGGAGCCTGTCCAGAGGGGAGGCTAATGAAGACAGACATGCCCTCGGTGTTATTTCCATGCTGCTCATTAGCCACTCGAGCTGAATAAAGATTGGTGATGGGCTCTCAGCCTCTGTCTCTTTTCTTATCCAGCCCTGGCAGTGCTGCGRGTTACTGAGCTCCAGCTTTAATGTTCTCGAGCTGTCAGTGCTCCTCAAGCCTGACCTGGGCAGATCCCTGCTGGAGGAATGGAGATGTGGGTATTTCAGTACTTCCTCAGTAACAATGTACTGGAAAATGCTCAGAGCCAGAGGCCAGAGCCTGAGCACTCCCTGCAGCCACTCCCCCCACAACCCCCACAGAAACGTGCAGAGCCAGCACCTCTTTTTGTACAATTGTTTATACAAATTCAACAAAGGTAAAACTGCATCAGGAAGGTCTACGAAAACAACACCGTACAACAATGGCACTTATGAATGCAGAATTTTACAATCAGGAAATAACCATGTTATAAACCTTAAATGAGAACTCAACTCACACTTCAAAGAAAGAGAGACTACGTTTGACCATTTATTCTACTGCTGGACTCACTGTATAAATTAATTTTATATTGAGTACAAGAGCTCATGCTACAGAGTGAAACCCTCCTATGTGCAAAAGCTGAAATTGGAATTTTTTTAAAATTTTGAGAAAAAGGTGATTTCTATACAGATAAAAGTGTATTACTTCAACTATAATTTACACCTTATTTCCACAACATGCTTATGTCACTTCTGAAGTATACAAAGCAGGATATAAACTTCCATTAAAACATGCTTTAAGTTGAAAGTATGAACCTACTTTTCCTGACCTGGGCACGTTTGTAGATAGATACTGTCTACGAAGTATAGGTTAAGTTCTCGCCTACCATAAGTAAAGATAAAAATTGGCAATCAAAACCGAAACACTGGTAATGCATTCAAACATTGCATAAATAATTTTTAAACAATTTTTGTACAAAAATAGTTCTGCATAATGTAAGATGTAACAAAACAAAACGTGTTAAGAAGGCAGAAATGCAGTGCGTGGTCCACTTGAATGACACCAACTTTTTTTTTCTTGTTTTAAGAAATGAAAAGCAGAAATCTAATTTACACTACCAAGCACATGCCGTGGTACTTTAAATAACAGTATTTCTTGGAGCTCAGTCCTCTTCCAGGGTGTGAACAATTATCATCGGTAACAGTCGCCTTATGAATTTGCATAAGAGCCAGTGCAGGACATCCCAGGTGGACTGAATTAGTGGCACAAGTTGAAATTCTTAACATGGGTAGTTTCACGTTGTTCTCTCCTCAACAAGAGTTGTAAAATCCAATCGCGGCATTTTCTGATATTCCAAGTTCCCAATTGAAAATAAAATCCCTACGTGTTCTTAGTCCCTTCCCCCCCTCRCCCCAGTATTTACACGAGTCCTTTAACTAACTCAGTTTTTGCAGAAGTTTCTCTTCCACCTGCCCAAACTGGACACTTACGGACATCTCCGCTATGAACTGCTCGCAGCCCTCCTTTGTCACTTGCTTGCAGTACCTCAGGTCGATCTGGCAGATGTTCCCACAACGTTTGAAGTAAGACAGGCACTGGTCAGTGACCTTATTGCAGTCTGGGGAAGAGCAGAAAGAGGAGTTGAACACTGAATTGTTCTCCAGCACCAGGATGGTTTATCCCCATCACAGCCTGTCCCTCCTGGGGCCGGCAGAGGAATCCCCTGCCAGCTCCATCCCCATCATCCATCTGTTGTGTAACCCATGGGATAAAGCCAGGCACCAGATGTGCAGAGCAGCGTTGGAAAATCCCCGGGGAGGATGAGCGTGGATAGAACAAGAGCTCCTGGCAGCTGGTGGGGCCGGGAGAGGCCATTGCCACCAGCAGCACATCCAAAGGCACGGTCAAACCCCTCCCACAGCTCTAATGCCAGGGGCAGCTCCCCTCCCCCACATCCCTTACCTGATAAATTAATTTCCGTTAACGAATCCCGCGTGGTGGTTCCGACGGCGGTCAGCAGGTTAATAGACTGATCTGTCACRTGGTTACAGTAACTGAGATTGAGTTTGGAGAGCAGGGGCATGTGCCTGATGATGAGCCGCAGCGAGGCGTCGGTGATATCCAGGCCAGCCAGGCGCAGCTCCACGATGTTCCGTAGCTTGCTCCGGTTGTCRATCTGACCTGCAAAGCAGAGGCAGCAGGTCACTCCCCCGAGCCTCACCCGCTCTGCCARCATCTGCAGGCCTCTAGGAAATGCACCGTGACACACAACACTGCTGCCCTGGGTCAACCTCAGATGCTTTTGCCTGTCTGGGAGCTTTGGAGGGAACATCAGCAGGAACACCTGTCTATTTTCGGAACAGGCACGTGGACAAAGCCACCTCCTGATTTCAAAACAAAAGGGATGAAAGTAACTGCAGGGGCCCAGCGGAATTACAAGTCGGGAATAAGCAGTAGGCTGTGCAGTGCATGCCAGAAAGCAGATCTGATTTGCTCAAAATTTCACCTGAGCTGAAATCCGGGCGAATGTGGCATGACCCACAGAACTGCTCCTTCCCTGAACTGGAAGAAAGTGTTTCCATACTCTCTAAAGTACACCCGTTGCAGCCTGAAGAGAAGAAAGTCAGACAGAAAACCAGCACAGTGGCTCAGACGATGGCTCAGCAGCCAGAGAACATCACTGTCACCCAAGGGCTCCAGCCACCAGTGYTGCAAGTCACTGCCTCGAACTGCCCGAGGGGCAGCACGGCCCCAGCCCCGCTGGTTGGGCTCTGGGGGCTCCTGTCCGTTTGCTCTGAGGGGGACTAAGCACAGAAAACGCCCCGGGGTGGGACGGGGCTCCCAGCTCCTCCCGCTGTTACCTGGCCGGTTGTCCGTGGGCGGGGACAGGAGGTCTCTCATTTGTGCGTCTTTCAGTCCTTCTGCCCACTGCACGTCCAGAGTTCGCAGCAAGGGACAACTGGAGCTACAAAGTGCCGACACTGCTATCCATGAGCACCCTGATAACAGCAGGTCCCGCAGACCTGCGGATACAGAAGAGGTTGGAGCCCTGTGACCTTCCCAGAGGCATCCCAGAGACATCCCAGTGACCTCCAGTGGCACCCCCAGGCTGTCCTGACCACAGTCCCAGCACTCCAGGGTGAGCAGGGACCCCTGAGAGCCTCCTCCAGCCCAGCTCTCCATCTCTCCCACCACTGGAACTTCATCACTCCCCAGTCACCTCAGCCCTTTCCACAGCAGCATCTCTGTTGGCCACGACCGCCCTCAAATTACTTTAATTAAACACGTCATATAGTCACAAAAAATAATTCTGGCCCATTTTAACCCATCTCCAGCCCTCCTAAGAGAGTCTGTTCCTCTTGTAGGACACCCCAATCCCTGCACACTTTCCCCAGAGGTTGCAGTTAAGATAGAAACTGGTTTCTTCCACAAACTGGTTTGTGATTTGGTGATCAAAACACATCACTTACCTGGCAGTCTGTTGATAAGCCAACTCAGCTGCTTTTTAGATATATTTGTCCAGCTAAGATCAAGGGTTACAGGCTGTCTCCTAATAATGCCACTAAGCATAAGTGGAGTGATGGATTTACAATGGTTTAAATCTATTTTGGTCCATAATCTTTTGTCACAGCACCTACCCAAAAAGAAAAAAAGCCAACAGCACTTAATTTGGCACTTGTTTGGATTTCAGCAAGGCTTTAAAAGGTGTCATTAAACAGTAGGAGAAACTACAGCATTTAACTGAAAATTGMAAAAATAAGGCTGAGTATTGCTAAGATAAACACAATCCCACAAAATGTTACGTAAGGTTCAAGTTTCTCCACCAAATACATCCTGCAATAAAGCATGGAATTATTTCCACAGAATTACAAGTGTCAAGAACTTTGGATCCCATTTTAAGTCACCCCAGCACTTAAGTAAAATCTATTTTACAGCCTGAAGACAAGTCATCACTTCTTCCTTACATTTTGACTATGAAGTCTGATTTAAATAATACCCCCATTTCCCCTGTGCTTTTCTTACTTAAAACCAGTGGATTTGGGAAAACAGATCCTCCCTCTCCTGTTGTGCATTTGTGCTATCCCTATCCATGTGGATTGTATCTTTTTGCACTTTATGGTTCTCTAAGGGCAACACCACWAAGTCCAGCTGAGTGTGCAGGAGTCTGTTGATTTTTTTCTCATTAGCAAGTACAGTATTGAAGTAGAAAATGCCTTTAGCAGGTTTCAGTGACACCAAGCAGCCCATGGAGGAGATGCTCCACACACCAAATTATCCATCTCTACTTTGTACACCTTTTGTTATCAGACTGTCCCCAAAAGGAGCCTGTTGCAGTCTGTCTGTCCTTGTGCAGAGCAGGAACCCAGGACAAGAGTCACCACTGCCACAAGGCCTCGCTGAGGGGTCAGTGAAACCTGTAAATGTGCACCAAAGCTTTTGCTGTGCAGCCCCAGCTGTGACAGGGCCACATGGTGCCCTGAGCACAAGGGACACGCTGTGAGCAAACACCATCAACAAAGGGCTCCTCCAGAACGTGCTCGGCTGGCACAGAACAGGGGAACAGGCTGGCTCTCCATGTACCCTSGCCAGGAGACAATCCCAGCCCTGTGAGGAGCACACGGGGGGATCCTCGCTATCGATGTTTTATAGCTGAACTGCACAAATGCTGGCAGGCAGGAAGTCCTGGGGCACAATGACACCGAGCCTGACCCAGCCTGGCTGTTCCAGCAGCAGAACACCGCGGTGTCTGACTGCAGCACAGGCTGCTCCGGAGCCCGCCAGGCTGACGCCGAGGCTGACACACRCAGCTCCCATCAGAAAGGCTGGGGATGGCTGTTCCTGAGAGGGCAACGTGAGACGTGCCATTTCTGCTGGTCCCCCATCTCCTTGGGCTCACCAGAGCTCCAGTGCCAGCCCCCAGCCCTGTCCCAGGAGACACCGGTGCCTCCATCACCCGCTGCCCTCCCGTGCCCATCCCACCCACCCCCGTGTCCCGCCCTCCTTACCATCTGTTCCAGGTCTTGCAAACTCTCATACAGATGCACAAGTCTCTATGACTGAGGTAGCTAAAGACAGCCATCCAGACTTCCCTCTGCATCACGTGGGCTGCCCCGTCATCCAGGGGGAGCGAGTCCGGAGGGGGGCTGATGGGAGGTGGCCGGATAACGTGCCGCTCCATCTGGATGCATTTGGGGGGCGACAGCGAGGGCGGGGGCCGGGCTATTCCCCGGGGGGTGCTGCGCAGGCTGGGCATGAGCTGGTGGTGCCTCAGCTCCCGGG